AGCAATCAATCAAGCATTGCTTCACAATCAAAGCTATCCTTAGTAATTAATTATCAGAACCACCAATAATTAAAATTAAAAGGATTAAAGAATAGATGAACTTCACCTAGTATTTTAGTTTTACTAACACATTTCCACCATCACCAATAAGTTCAACACTAATAACTGCAACTAGAACCATCTCAACGTTCAAAGCATAAAGGCTTTGTCCTATGTGTGTGTTTGTATGCAACAATGTCTTTAATCTTTATGCACATACATGGAGATGGCCAAGGATAATTCAATAAGTACTGTCACAATTGGACAGTTAGCCAAAGAACTTGTGCTTTAAGTGACAAGTTCCTGAAAATGTTGACAGCCACCTACCAACAAGAGAAATTAAGCGAAAAAGTAAAATACAGAACCCACTGACATACAATATAATAGGTTGAAGAATCTGTGACAATAGCATAAAAAAACTCAGCAGGTGAGAGGCATGGTTTGGGAATATACTTTGGCAATCAACAAGGGTAAGTTCATCCCAAAGACAAAGAAGCTTATCTTTATTGAACAATATAAATCCTGATAGATAGTAGGTAAATATTACTGACAATTTAATATTCCTTTATATTCAGAATTTCCTTCCCTATCTACATCAATTACTCCCCATCTTCTTCCAAATGCTCCAATAAAAGAAAAAAAGAAGCTTAATTGCATAGAATGTTAAACGATGTGAGAGATGCTGAGGCCTTTTGAAAATGCACCTGAATGGTCACCATGAAGATTATATGATATGTTAATAGAAATTTAGACACCGGCTACTATGTGGGTGGACAATAATAAATACACAAAAAAGCAATGTTTTAAAAACCGGATTGGACCGGTCGGTTGAATCGATCGGACCAGTATCTGGTACCATAAACGGCTCGGGTTAAGGTTTAGAATTGATAAAGTGATTGAACCGTTCAAAACCAATAAAATCGTTCAGACCAATACAAACCGTTAAACTATTCAACCGGGCGGTTTAAATCTTTTGGAAAATTTCTCATATAATTGTTACCTGCAGGCTTCGAACCGAAGACTCATGGGGCATTTTCAATGACCTTTACCACTGGAACACCACCTCTTTGATTGAAAAGAGTGGCTTAAAATTTTATTTATTTTATGTGTATGAAGAAAAGAACGCGAACTTTCTTCTCTTCTATAATTAACTTTCACATTAAAATTAATATAATGTTAAT